AGAGAAAGAAAGAGAGAAAGAAAGAGAGAAAGAAAGAGAGAAAGAAAGAAAGAGAAATTGGTAGTGAGAAATTAAAAACAACGAAGAAGCAATGTTAAATATGATGACTCAAGAAAAAGGTTTTTTTTTCTTTTCTTTTCTGTTTCTTTAAGACTTTTAAATGCTTAAGCCAAGGACACTCCAAAGGGGTCTAATGTAACTGGCAGTGCAATAAACTGATTTGAGTCTAGTTCAAAATATGTCAAAGAGGTAGGTAGAGAAGAGAAAGTTCACCTCGAGCTCTGTAATTCAGGAAGGCAGTTTTGAATTTACAAAAGGTCACAGTACTTTCCAGTAGAAGCATGATCTGGCTCTAGCACTTGGGATTTTCCTGGCATTTGGATAAAAAGGGGGGTGAGAAAGAGCACATAGAAGAGCTTCAATACGATAATACTTCACTGCTTTGTTTCGGCAGAGACCAGGTCAAGACAAGGATGACTGGCTGTATCCCAAAGAGGGCAACAGATACAGGAGGGTAAGCTCAAGGTTGGGAAAAATGCCAGAGGCAATGTTAAGAATGTAAAAAAAAAAAAAAAAAAAAAAAAAGAGGACTTTTTACCCTATCGATGCCTACAACACATACAGAGAAACTAATGGTACAGTCAGGAAGTTAGCAGTCAGAACGGAGGAAGAGAGGGCAACAAAGATGCATGAATGATAAAGGAAACAACCAAGTTAGCTGACAGCACACAGACAGGATGTCTAAGGTTGAAATAAACAGAAAGAGTTTCTAAAGAAATCATCCTGCAAAGAAAAGCACTGTGGAGAAGAAACACACACGGATCCTCCACAGTGAATGAGCAGAAGCAGATGCTCATCATCACACTCATAAGAAGTAAAAGACAAAAGAAAGACTATTTACCATTTACAAGCCTAATAAAAACACAGAAGTCTTTAAACCACCAACTTTTTCCTTTAGGCACTGACACTGCCCTTGGGAAAAAATAAAAATAAAAATAAAAAACAAAAACAAGCGAAAAAGTGGAAGACCATCAGTGATCTTGCAGCAGAAAGCGGTTGTACTGATGTGCCCCTACCCATGCTGCTGGGACTTTATGCACATTACTAACTCCACTTCAGAAAATGTACAGAGATGCAAACAAAGCACATGTGGATACACTCACATCCCAGACACAACTACCGAACACCTGCCCATCCTGCCCGCTGCTTCACTGCCCTGTTGGTTACCTGCTCACCAGGTGCCCCTGCAGGCCTGGATGGAGTTCCTGTTTTCCAGGCATGTCCTGGTCAGGTATCCCCTCCCTCTCAATGATGGCACCCACCGCTGGGTGCTGCCATTTGTAATACAAGTGCTGGAGACATGAGTACCTGAGCAATCCTCCTAATTATTCAGGAAGTTTAACCCTAGGATTACAGAAGACATTTGCCTGTGTATGGAAAGACACAGGCAAAAAGATTCTGAAGAGCACCGCAGCAGAGGTTCAACCAGCTACTCGATAGATACCTGCAGAGGGTGTTTTGGGAGGGTTGAGGGAATCCCAGAAACTGTGCAGAAATAACTGAACAAGGTAACATCAGTGTCAACATTCGGCTCACCCAACCTGTTTCAAGGGATGTTGTGCCCTTAGCAAACAATTTGGTAAGCTGCATTAAATGTGACACGCAATTGTGACAGAAGATTTGGGCATTTTAATAGCGGGCTATCCCTTGCTTATATCTCCAATGCAAAGCCATGAATGCACTGAGGTACTGTAAGCACTTCTGAAGCCTAACCATCCATGCTCAAATATTATGCATCTTCTATGATCCAATGTGTATGCTATGCGCAAAAAGAGCTGGTTTTGTAGCAAGCTGCCTTTTATGCCATAGAAAGAGTATCTAAACACACTAAAATGGCTCTTGGTTAAAACTTTGGAAAAATATTCTCTGTCCTCTTCCCAGGTGGCATCCCAGAGCACTCATTCAAAAGAGCTCGCAGCCTTC